ATATATACTTCAAGGCATTATGATTTTAAACTTCAATTTTAAATTTCAGCATACGAATAAGATCTTCCCATATATTAAAATAAAAAGGTATCGGAGTAAGTAATTAATTCACAAATGCAACTAATCTCTTTTTGTGAATAGAAAACTAAAACGAATGGAAGAGAAGCTCCAACTTCATTAAGTGCTTTTCATATATGGAAAGTGTAAACTTATTTTTATTACTTCTCATTAGACAATTTTCTTTACTTTTTAAAAGAATAAAACCAGAGTAAGTCCCTGGTTCACTACCGAAGGACAGAGGAAAATGCATATAATAGAGTTCAGTTGTAAATTGTTTTTAGATTGCCTTTGGTATCAATAGAATTCAATTTAAAGTGAATGTGTTAGATTTTAAGCCAAAGTAAGAAAAATAGCTAAACAATGAAAAATGAAAATACTTAAAGCAGATACATTCACATGTAAGATAATTTGAACCACAGATGCCGACACAGATAAAGGGTTAGACAAACACGTGCTGCACTGAGAGAAGCTCCAAACTGAAGATATTGCGGTCTGTGCTATGGAGTTGTACGGTTGCGGCTTAGCGTGTCGATTACTCATTATAACAAAAGTAGAAAAAGTTCAAAAAAAAAACCCAACATAGAAACCATTTAGATAGAGCAGAATTTTCTTGTTAATCAATGAATTACGACTAACTTGTAACAAAAGAAAAAAAGATATATACATTAAATTAGAGGCAAGTATGGAAAGTAAGCGAAAAGGTATAGAAGATTGAAGTTTATTAGAAGAAAAACTTAAAACTTAAAACAATTTAAAAAAAAAATTATAAGAGAATGAATCCATATAGAACTGACACTAACTAAAAGAATATAAATTTTTTAATATTTTTTTTAACTTTACATTTTGAATGGAATGAAGATTCTTGTTGATTTGACAGTACAAAGGCGTATATGTTAGAATAATTTTTGACAGGTAGGAAGCTAGATAGATAAAAGCTTGTGGCATTCCGCTCTATGAAAGACGGGCGTGTTTAAGTTCTAAGAGGTATAAGTAAAAATAATAATGGTAGTAGTAGTGAAGACGATAAATACTATTCTAAAACGTCGTTAATATTTTTTTAATAAATTTTTTATGCATATTCTTAATATATAATAACTGCAAGTATAAAATCAAAACACAAAGATTAAATAATATTAAAGTGCATTAACTGCATTAGGAAACTCGATACTTGCCAAACAAATTGGTAGGCATGAGTTGTCAAATCTTCAAGTTCAAGGCGCACCTTTTCAAGTGCAATATCTAATATTTCTTAATGTCTTAACTTAGACATATGATATACATTATTTAGAAGAAAAAAAATTTATATAAATAAATTGTAGCTTTAAAAAGTATCTAACACTAATGATCAAGCTGAGCAAAAAAGCGTATATTTTTCTGCTATTTTTCATTATCACGTCGTAGTAATTCACATATCTTGGGTGCGCTCGAAGCGCAGCAGTGAGTGAGGCAATATTGGTTATGGTTGAAATCTGATGCTGCTGGAAACAATTGTAGTTGAAGTTGATGTTCAAGTCTTTGCTGTCTGGTGCCATGATTTCATAAAATACGAGCACAAGTGTCGATATCTGTCTTAGTAGAAGAGAGTAGCATGGAAAATCCAACAATCCAACAAGTGTAAAGAATATATAAAATATTATTTTCATTCGCGTATTGCTGATTTTCCTTATTGCTTTGGCTGCTATAAAAAGTGTTAATTTCTATGCTCACATTGCACATCTATAATTTTCCTTATTTCTTTTTTGTTTTTTTTTTTGTTAATAATACATTTATTTATACAATATTTATGTCTGCGGAAATTTATTTATGTGAAGAAATTAAGTGCACCAGTGCTTAGAGGCAATGCAGTATTAAATTTCTATTTATGGTTCAATTTTTTTGTATTTTGCTCATTTAATTAGAAAAATTAAGGTTCTATGCGAGGTAGTGCTGTGCTAATTTAGAGCATAAGATAAAATCGTTGGAAATCTCGACTATATTAGTAAATATGTGAAAATATGCAAAGAAGCTATTATTAAGTCAATTATCTAATTCCTCTCGTTTTGTTTTATATGCGTTAATATGTGTAAATATAGTTATTTAATTTTCTATTAAATAATTCAGTCTTCTAAACGAATTGTAATTAGTTTCGAGAGCTATAATATCTTTAAATACTTATATACATTTTTAAATGCATACAATAGGTAATAGGAAATGCAAAGCTAAGAGGTATCTTCCAGGTGGGAGTATTTAACTCAATATGTTATTATATATACATATATATATATATATGTATATATAATATTTATGTGTTACTGTGTGTTAATGTAGTTATTTAATTTTCTATTAAATAATTCAGTATTCTAAACGAATTGTTATTAGTTCCAACAGCTAAATACTTATATACATTATTAAATGCATACAATAGGTAATAGGAAATGCAAAGTTAAGAGGTATTTTCAGATGAGAATATTTAACTCAATATGTTATTATACACATATATATGTATATATATATACGTAAAAGTGTGTAAATATAGTTATTTAATTATCTATTAAATAATTCAGTCATCTAAACGAATTGTTATTAGTTTCAAGAGCTATAATATCTTTAAATACTTATTTTTATTATTAAATGCAGACGATAGGAAATGTAGAGCTAAGAGATATGTGAAAATATTATTTATATGTAGTATATTATTATTATAAATACATCACAATAAAAATAAAAATATCAAAAACCAGCAGAAAACTTTCAAAAAAAAATTTAATAATTAAAAATAATATTAAATTAAAAATAAACTATAAACAGAAAAAAAGGTTTTAAAAAAATATAAGTTTTCTTCATTTGAAATTGATTATAATGATGAATATCTAAATGAAAGATACCTCTACAATACAATACAACAATAATTAAATAAATATATAGTAAATGGTGCTTAACTGGTCCTTAATACTAAAGAAATGAAATCAGACACTAAAAATATTTTTAGTACAAAGTGGGCTTACTTACTGTTAGATATTTTTATAACAATTATAACAAATAAAAAAATTAAATATAACAAGAGACTGCAGATTTCTAATGATAACAATAAATTGTTAATCTATTCCAAACTAGCAATCACTTGTCTATAAATTGATTTACGAAATTGAATGCACATCACGAAATGAATTCCTTCACTTTACTCAGACTGTTTATAAAAATAAACAACACCAAAAAAGATAACTAACAGCGGTAAACTAACAATACTAAAATAGTAAAATAGATATTTCACAAAAGTGGCAACCAACAGCACTAAAAAACGGAAAAAAAGAAAAATTTCGGAATATTTTCCAGTAATATTTTGTACATTACAAATCTCGCCAGCCATAATATAACGGTGATACAATAAAAATAAAAGGAAGGTTGCAACATTTTCAATATAAGAAATACCTCCCACAGGTTCAAAATAGACATTGGACAACGTTGGATAACTTAATTTTAACAACAGATTTGAAAGAGATAACTCATATGAAAGTTCATGATTAATTTCTAATAGCCGGTAACGATAATAATGATTATGTATATATATATATATTTGATATATATTTGATATATTTATTGTGAGTTGCAAATTTCGATTAATGTAGATAAAAATAATATTATCTTTTATAATATTATTATATTTATCTTTAATATCTTTATAATATATAAAATAATATATATAATATTGCATAACAACAATAAGATTTCTAAAATTTTAGTTTATATACATACTTTTTATATAAATAAATATATGAAGTCATCTTTGGAAAAATATACTTTTATTTGACACAAACATAATTAAACACACTTTTCTGATCATTTACTATACTGTTTATAGATAACATTCAATTAATTAATTCACTCAGATATGCAATCTGTTCTCAAGCTTTATTAAATATATTCTTATTAAAAAATAACTTACTTTTTTGTGGATATATAAATATTTTAATATAATAAAATTAAAATAAAATAAAATTTGTTTTAATTCACAATTAGGAAGTAAGTTTATTCACTTTACTCATGCAAGGAGTCTGTGTTCAACTTAGTTTAAATATACACTTTAAAAAAAACTTTGAAAGTGGTGACTAATTATTATGAAAAATTATATTAAGAATAAGTAGTAAAATTTAAAAAAAAATGCTAGGTTGTAGCACTAAAACCAAGGAGTTAATATGAAAAAAAATTCACTTTTGAAACTCATTAATAAAAAAAACTTTTGTAACTGTATCAAATCTGTTTATGGTGCAAATTTTCGATATAAAAAATTATGCACAAATAATATCCAACCAATTTCAATTTCAATCAATACTTTAATTAAATCTAAGACAGTCAAAGGTATGTGCAGCTAAGCTACAGCAAATGAATAAAAAAAAAATCTGCATAATTTTTGCTTTCAATATCTAAAAGCAAATATCCGTTTCCGTACCACTAATTTTCTTATTTATTTTTAATATCTTTTTTTCTGTGAACTGACACCAAACTGAGAATAATAACAAAAGTTTATTAAAAAAAAAAATAAAAACAAAGCTTAAATAAAAAAAAATACACAAAAAAATGAAGAAAAAAATAAAGAAAAAAAAAATTAAAAAAAAAATTTATATACATTTTGAGTATAAAAACTTGCCGACCATGTGGCTTCAAATTATTGTTAAAGAAATTATGGGAAAAAACTGCACAAAGTTCATTAGTGAAGCAGCAAAGAATGGTGAATGGAGCCCAAACAACACAACACTGACAGACAAACAGAGAGACATTAATGCAAATGGCAACACCTGGAAATGTCTGGCCATAAAAAGTGAACACAATTTAAGCATATGTGGAGGCAAGAGCACAGAATATATAGCAGAACCAATGTGACACTTCTACATTCTACATTCTTCACAATGTGACGACGACGGTTCAGTTCAGTTTCATTAAGCAAATACTTGTGACACACTCACCTATATTTTGTGCATCAATGCGTGCGTAATAACCCAATAGGCTAATGATGACAATCAGCAGCTGTGTCGATATTCTAGGCATTTTTCTTTTATAAACTACAAATTATAAAATTACAAGTTATAAGTAGTGGGTGGGTGGAGTAAAAGTTAAGCTTTCCAGAGCAGATCAGAACAGTACTTAGTTTCACTTATTTTCGATTTAGTTTAGCACTTTATTGGAGCACATTTGTCCACTTATCCCTATTCCAGCCACAGGTGGTGAATAAAATTTTGTCAAAAAATTTTTTTTTCAAATTTTATGCTTGTTCTTCTCTAATTGTTGTAATTTTTTTGCTATACGACTTTAGATTTTTTTTTTGGTGTTTATTTCACAAACCGCACTTGTAGCACACAAAAAAGTTTCAATTAACAAAATAATAATATTAAGAATAAAAATAATTCAAAATTTTAAATTTTAAAAACAATAATAAAATACGTTAAGACGTGTATAGCGAGAGAGCAGCAGGTGAAGTTGAAAACGAAGCACAGAAGAAAAATATTATTAAAAAGTATGTCACCGTTACATGCGGCAGCAAGGCAGCAAGTTTTCGAAAAGAAATATTTTTCAGTAACTTTCTTTTTTTGCACAGTCGAAATTTCAATTGAATTATTGTTGCCGAAATGTAACAGAATTTCTTAAATGATTTCTTTTTATATATGAAATAACGACTTCGTTTGATTGTTAAATGTAAATCCACATAGAAATTCAATTAGTTTTATTTAAAGTAATATTTTCTTTTTTTGTTTCTTAAAATTAATTTTAATTTCGATCCGTTTTTTAACGTTAAAGACGCACCACGCACATGCGCATTCGCTCGTATCCAGCGTAAGACTAACTGCAGAACCGCGTTCACTGCACTGAGCTTAAATTTATAACAAAAAAAAGCCTCAATCAAACTATGTTTTCAGTTTTCAGTGTTTAGCTTTCGGTTTGTCGCTAAGACGAAATGCCGTAATCGTAAGTGCCACAATGGTGAACAAGTAGCGCCAACTTACAACTTACAACCGTCGTATGAAAATGTTAAAATTCAACTGGCAGTAGCGATCATGCAACTTGGCTTTGAGAGTGGTGGACTTAGCACTTTGGTGTGGTAGATTTCTGCGCTGCTGTGTACGTTCGAGAATGTAACACAACTTGACTTGGCTGAAAATGAAACAGCTTAGACGTAAGAGCTATTTGGAGAAAAGTTCAATGAATGAATTAATTCCTACCAAATGTTTGTTTACAACTGAAAAAGAAAGCTTGAGTCGTGTGACTGATTGCAAGTTCGGCGTTTTGTCTGTTTGAAGTTTAGCTTATTCATACCTTAGCGTTTCATACCAAAACGTTTCTATACTGAGCGTTTGAATATATGCAAAATGTAATATTACTATGTTGGTAGGAATGTTGTTGTTGTTTTGATTTTCAATGGCTGTGTTACTTTTACCTTTAAAATTTATGTTTAAATTTGAAGAAGAATATGAAGGATGAGGACAAGAATGAAACATAATGTTTAAACAATCAATTCCTTAAGGGAAATGAATTAAAAAATGAAACTTTAAAATTTACCTTATATATGTACGAGTATTTAACTATTTATTAACTACTTAGACGGTGTGCGAGTTCGAGTTAATTGAGGTAAAGTAAATTTTCTAGAAATTATTTATTACTTATTTATTTATTGCACTTATTTATTAGTTTTCTATTCAAAGTTTTCAAATTTATTTATTTATTTATTAAGCATCTTATAAAATTTTCACAAGTAGCGTAACACCTAACTTGGTAATACCTAATTTACCAAATTGTTATCCAATTTAACCTACTCGAAATTCTGGTAAATACCAACATTAGCTACCATATCAACATAATTTTTTATTTTCCTCAAATTACTCGAACTCGCAGACGGCCTTATGATGTACTAACAATAAATTAAAAATTAGTTAATGACCAAAATTACTTATATATTTTTAAACGGGGTCATTGGTTTATTTAACCCAATATTTAATAATAATTTTGTTTTTTAACGGGCTAGTTGGGCAGTAGTAGACTTCTTTAAACAAATTTTATTTAAACAGATATTTCGATAGTCTACAGCAGTGGTTCCCAACTAGTCGTTCGCAGCCCACAGGTGGCTCGTGAAATGGTTAAAAATGGTCCATGAATCAAATTTATCAATTTATCCAGTTGTATCAGGTATGAATATATAACTTGCAGTTGTCCACTAAAAACTCATTTATTAGAAAATAAGCACCAAATATTTTCAAGTAATTATATACCTATTTTATAGACTATATAATGTACCTATGCACTTATACAATTCATTACACATTGTACCAAAGATGTATAACACATGGTATCGTAGCGGTTCTTCATCAAAAAAAGATTGGGAATCACTAGTGTGTAGTCATTTTTAGAGTACTGATATAATACAAAAGTTTGGAATATATAATAACAAAATCAATACATTGGACAAAGAAGTAATTATACAAGTCAATAATAATCAAACATTGTATTATACTATGTATTAAATTATAACATTTTTAACATAATAATATGTAAAGATGAGGACCAGGATAAAGGACTTGACCAATAAATTTCTTAAGAAAAATGAATTAAGTAATGCATCTTTATTAGATAATTTATATACAGGACAGTTTAGGAAGGAGTAGCAATCTTGTGCTCAAAGCCCACTTAAGTTCAAATAATGACTCGTTGTAGTATCACAGTATTAGCGTTTGTACACACATAGACTAGAGATCAGCGTACGCGATACGAAAGGCCCGACTCCACAATAAGTAAAGATAAACCAATTTGACAATTCTATGAACTTGACAAAGTCCTTAATTTTGCAGGATGACAGCTCGGTTAAATCGGTAAGAAAAGAGGCCTTGAAGATAAATGAAAGTGAGAATATTTTAGCATATATCTAAGTAATTTCCATACTAACTGTATGTAGTAGAATCATAAAATGACAGAATGGTTCATTTATAGTTCCTATGGAATATCAAGACAATTATTTTTATGATTTTCGGATTATAAAATTTATATAAGGCTTTTGTCGTCACTTTGTGATCCAAATTTTTTTCTGACATTGTTTATAGCTGTCAATAGTTTAATATCTCTTGTAAATTAATAAAGTACATATATTAAAAAATTTTTTAAATACATTATGAACTTACCTTTTGCTAGTTACATATTAAATAATAACACTAGCCCCAGATATGTTATATTTTTATATAAATTAAGTTTATAATAACTGCTTTAATATGCTGTAAAAAATGTTTAAAAAATTACTGATTAGTGTTATTTGAATATTTAATTAAATTAAAATTTTTGTATTTAATTTAAGCAAAAGTTGGTCAAAACTAATTTATTTTTAGGGTTAATTTGGTGTTGATAAGTATCATATTAACATATTACAATGACCTCCGAAATGACTTAATCTGAATTAGTCTATGTAAATATATATATTTTTTATTTTACTACTTAAGGTCAAGTACGGATTTATTTTAATAGCGTACACTTTAATCCTTACATCCATTTCATATATGCTGACTTTTTTTTAATTAGCTTTATTATAAATGAGTATTGGGCTATCAGTCAGATTTTGTATATAAAAAGATTTTTATATAAAAATTTTATTCTATTCAGTTGTTTTAAAATTTTTTCCCTGATGATGGTTTTAAAAAACCGAAACGTCGGAAATAAATATTAAATAAGTAAAATAATAAGAAAAATTTTTTATTAAAAAAACCAAATTACAAAATCTGACTGATAGCCCAATACTCATTTATAATAAAGCTAATTTAATCCTTACCATCATTAAATTATTATTTATTTATTTCGTATATATTAAGAAATTAAATTTTAGCCATTACAATTAATAACTAATTAATAATTAACAATTACAGACACGACTCAATAAAACAAGAGTTCGTGTTAGTATAAAATAATGAAGACAGTTTTAATATTTGTAAACATATAACATAATTTAATTAAAATAAAGGCTGCTTGTATTATTCTATTCTCTAAACATTTGAGATATTTCAACTGAATCATATATTAACTTCAAATTTTATTAAACAATTTGTTTTTTATATTTTGGATTTAATATAGTTTTACGAACAAAAAGATAATGAGAATTATAATATTGAAAAATTATTGTAATTACAATAACTTCTACCTATAATAAAAACTGTGGTTTCTATAGAACTCTAATTCTCTTTGTCATTACTATAATAGCTAACTTTGGGTCAGTTGGTTAAGGAGTGCTGACTCTGAACTTCAAATTTGGCAGGTGACGATTTCTATTACTGGTACTTGCACTCTCAAAAAGTTATTTACGAATAATTAACTACAATAATTATTTCCAAGACCACTGATAATGTGTACTTGGCAATACTCGAAATAGCTGTAAGATCAGCTAAAAGTACAATTAATTAAAATAATATAAAAAAGAATTTTTGTTGTTGTAGTTCACTATTTTTCGAAAACCTCTTTATAAAATAAAAAAAGAAATATATGAATTACTTATAACAATTCTCTAATATTTAATTTGTCTAAACTTATTTATTCAATCACTGAATCTCTCATCCCAAGTGTCCAAAATGTCAGATTTTAAAAATATTCTAATTTCGGATGAGGACAGAAATGCTAAGATACTTTAAATAAAACAAAAAAAATAATTATATTAATTATTTATAATAATTATAATAATTTGGTTGCACTATTTATTCAATCTCTAAATCTCTCATACCAAATGTCAAAAATGACAGATGTTAATAATATTATAAATTCGGATGAGGTCAGGAATTCCTAAAATTCTTTAAATAAAATAAAAAAGTATTATATAAATTATTTTAATTCCATAATTATTATTTCGACCATACTTTACATCTTTTGTCCCAAATGTCCAAAATGTCTGGTGTTAAAGTTATGCTAACTTCAGATGAGGATAGAAATTCGTAAGTTACTTTAAATAAAGCAAATATATAAATTACTTATAATAATTCCATAATTTTTAAATTGGCTATACTGGTTTATTTAATTACTGAGTCTATTGTCCCAAATCTGTAGAAAAGTATTTCGCCTACGAACTTGTTTCGTTAATTATAAAACACTAACATTACTTGTGCTTTTTATATTTTTGATAAGTTTTTAACTTCATTTTTACAACATCCTTTGCAACTTTCATTTAAATTCCAATCCTGACAACTGCAATTAAAATGAATTTTCCTTTAAAGAATTTTGCAAAAATATTCTAACAACTTTTTGCGAAAATAGTACTCGTAATAAATGAGTACACG